AAAAAAAAAACAATATAATAATTATTCTTTTAATTATTTTTTATGTTTCCTTCTTATTATTATCAATTTTGTATTAAAGAATAATTTTACAAAGGAAAGAAACATATATGGACATATTTTGCAAATAATTATATACAATTATATGTGAAACTTTATTTCCTGGGTATGCAGAATTAATTTCTTTAACTTACTTAAACGCAAGTGTTTGTTAATCCTTTTGTCTTAATAAAAATTCGCTTCTAAATGTCATAATCTTCATCGAAAGTCCCATGAATTCCTTTTTTAATCTACCCTTCTGATATTTTTCTTTTCGATCCACTGGTCGTTCGCGGAAGAGTTCGTCACGCTTCGGAGAACGACCCGCCGGCGCGGGAATGTGATCTCTGACCGCGAAAGTGGAGGTCATTATCCCTTATCGCGACACGGTCAATATTATCGACCCTGATGAGGACACGGTGCAAGGGAGTACGACTCGCGCGCGACAGTTCCTATGGAAACCCGCGATCGAATCCGCCACCCCCGTCGCTGGAACTTCTTCGGCACCCGGAGGGCTGCTCACCACGGCGCGGTCCCCGCAGTAGCGCAAATATTGACGCGGCGAGAGGCCGCGCGGAAGAACCCCCGCGAGTCTGGAGAACGGCTGTGTTCCGGGAAATAAGATCGTGCACGCATCGGAGGACTTGTCCTCCGACCGGGCTGTCCTTTCGCTGTTGACAGAAGCAACGCCGTTATCGCGACTCCAGAAATCGTGACGATGGAACACTCTGCGTGGGAGGAAGTCGGTTGACCGATCGAAACTGGGTCGTGATCTATCGACGGGGTGATTCTCAACCGATCGAGGGGGTGCATAAGAATGCCTTGATTTTCTCTGCAAAGTCCGCGATTTTATTTGGTTCGATAGTAGCTTAAAAAATTGGCGACTTTCGTGCCGGGGAAGAATTGTATAGTCTATCGAAATTTCCGACAACAAAATTTTGCAATCATCTTTTGAAGAACAATAGCCCTAATAGAGTCCAATTAAAAAATCATCAGGGATTGAATTAAAAAATTGTTTTCTAAAATATCGAATGGTATAATAGATTTTAAACGTTCAATAATACAAAATTTCCGATGACGGAGTCCCAATTCCGACAAATTTGATTAACGAGTGACAAAATTAATTACAGAATTATCTGACAATGGGGCTCTAATTGAAATTTTTTAAATTCAATTTTGACGCAACAAAATTTGTTTTATGAAGAAAAAAAACACAATAAAAACCGACGTTGAAAGAGACTTTGCATTGGTACGGCTTTTTTACGGGTAACTTCGATACTGTCTTCTTCAGGCGCAAAGATGCGTTTCAGAACACAATGTGATTTTGCGCTAAAATTTCGCAATAAAGAGCATCGGTCCCGGAAGTGCGCGAGTGAATTTATAGGAACGATTTGTTGAACGAACGACACGCGAGGAGTTCGGAGTGGTACCAAAGTATTTGCTGATGGGAATTTCCGCTGACCGTCGCTGATCCCGGAATAGGTAGGCAGTCGAGGATATCAATGTGGATTTTAGTTTAGGGGATTTTAGTTTAGGATCCTCTCTTTTCGCCTTTCTCGATCGTTCGTCGTCGCTGCCGCGTTTATTCGTTACGTCTTCCCGCGGGTATCGCGTGCGAGGATGACCGGAAGGACGTCGCTGGTGGAACAGAAGAGACTCCAGTGGGCGAGAGAAAGGGGTAAGTGAACTTGACAACCAGCAATTATTTAAGCAATTTATAATGATAAACGGAGTTTTTACGGCGAAGATATCGATAAACGAACAAAGATATAGATATTGATGACTTATTTTTTTTTTTTATTACGGCGCTTTAATTTAAGGACTTGTTATATTATTTTAATTTATTGCATAATTACTTGTGATGATTACATACACTATATATCTAAAATAAAATGGTATCTATACGAGAAGTATTTTTTTTATCGATTATACAGAAGAAATGGCTCGTCTTGGAGTTAATTGGGGAAACCTGAAGTCAAATAGCAATTATAACCGCACCCACATCCGGTAAATATAATAAACAAAATATTATTATATCAGACTTTTAATTGAAACATTGAATCATTTTATGCAACATAAAAAATAAATTATTTATATACATATTAATAGTTCTTAAAAATCACTATACTTTGTTAACGTAAAATTAAAATTCTTCATTCCCCCCGATAGTATCGTATACCTAAAATAAGAACTCTCTGACGCAGCACGTACTCGAACGAAACCAGATTATCCTTAGGGGAAATAAGGGATAAGCCTTCCGCGCAACCGTTTCGTACAACCGGACATTACGGGAGCACCATTAGTCTGAAGAGTCTGGCGACGGAAAGTTCCGCGAATGGTAACAACAATCTCAAGTGCCTCGATTATAACGGTGGCAGTTTGATTAATCTTCGGGACCAGGTGGAGATCTCACAAATCAGACGCAGGAGCCCCAGTCTGCCTCCGATCTTCAACAAGGAACAACAACAGTATTTCTGCCAACTGGTACGTATTTTCTTATTTTTTAAATTACACTCGCGATTATAATTATTACAAAATAGTTATTCATATTTATATTAAGTAAATATGAAATATATTAATATAAATTTGTATACATATAGATATAAAATATAATATTAAGAATTATTTACATTTATATATGTGTGTATATATATATATATATATATATATAGGTATATATATTCATATAAATATAACTGCAATGTAACGATCGTGGCACAGAGTTGTGCGTCTGCTTTCCGCGCCAAAGACTCAGGTTCAAATTTGCCCAGAAATATCGGATTTTTATTTATTTCTATATTAAATATAAGATTTAACAAGAATTGAAAATTTGAAATCGACGAGAAGACAGGTATCATCACGACAACTTTCATTGAGATACTCGATAGGGACTATCCCTTCAATGAATAGCAAGTTTATCTCACGGTGTTCGCAATAAGCTTGTCGTGATGATACCTGTTTTATGGTCGATTTCAAATTTTTAATTCTTGTTAAATCTTATATTTATATCTTTTTTTGAGTTGTATTATATTCTGTTCCATAAAAAAATTACAATTATTACTTTAATTTATATATTAAATAATTCAAAGGATAAATGTATAAATAGAAATAAAAAATAACAACAAATCTTTTGTTTATAATTTTTTTTGTTAATAATTGAATCAAACATGGCATATCTAAATCACAATAAATATCAATAAATAATTCTTTTAAAAATAGGTTTAAAGCTAAAAAGTTTCCAAAATACAGTTTTTGTATGCAAAAGCTTACACATATGTATTTAAATTATTTATTGACAAATCAAATGCTTGAGTTTTTTAATGCTATGTGGTGGTAAAAAGATTAAATTATTATCTTGGATTTCCAGTACATTGGACACTTATATACAGGGATACAACCTGTATATAAGTATATAAAATTAAATAAAAAACCTAGCTGCAAAAATAAAAAAGTTTCGAGAAAAAGAAAGAGCTCAATATTTCCATCTTGGACAATTCTCGGAGTACATCTTAAATCTTTCAAGTTTTCTATAAATAATTGATTGCCAAGGCAATTTTTCCTGTTTTTTATTAAATTCATTTCTGTATGAACTTTCAATTAAATGTTTGATTAGTTCACTAATAACTTCACTACATTGTTACTTCGAATTGGTTTTACTACGAATGAAAGCTCTGAAATGTCATATTGTTACATGAATGATTGATCGCCTACCGCCAGCTTACTTGCGTGTCATGTGGCAGCAATGTTCCGCCGATGTCACATATAGCTAAGAAATAATCGAATAATTAAGTAGAGCACACAGATTTATATTTATACGTCGTGGATATTGAGAAGGTCGACAGCAATAAATAAAAAAATGTATTAATCTATTTAATTTTTTTCGTATATTAATTTTTATTACATGTATTTATATATAATCTTTATATCAAAATTTAATTTCTTCGATCGAAGCAATTTCTTCGAAGTATAGTGCGGCTTTATAATGATTGGAATTATATAGCAAGCATTGATTAAGCGAATCTCTTTGGGCTTCACACTCGAGCTCTCATTCCAGATTTGAAAAGAGCCATCAAATTAACGATCGCGTCTAATTACAATTTCATAAATGGCGATATAAGTGATCCTCGATAGTACATCGCCCTTTCGCGAGGGAAAAGCAAAAGTAAGGCAGTCCGGCAAATCGATTCTTATCGCGCTATTGAAGTTCAACGACCTCAAGGCTATACACCTTGCTTTCGAACTTAAGAGTGGCGAGCGGACATTAAGCTCGCCCCCGTTAGCCCCGCGATTGCTGGAGCTCACCCATAGCACAAACTCGATTTTATCGCAGTCATTGCCCTAAAAAATATTCTGCGTTGGACTGAATTACCCTGCGACTGAGAAATTCAACGTTGCTTGACTAACTTATTTTTTCATTTTAAGAAAATTTTTAAATATTTATTTAAAAAATGGGAACAGCTAATTTTATATTGATATCTCGACTTTTCTCTCTTTTCTTTTTAATAAATATTGAACTATAAATACTGTTTGATAACGCAAAATTTTAATTGCAAGTTTCTCGACACAGTTACTATCGCCTCTACGTGCATGTGACGTAAACGGATGATGAGGTTGCATATAATACGTGTATTTATTCGGTTTTAAAGGAAAGTATTGCCATGCAACCGTCCGTGTCGGCTTTCATTATATAAGCGCGTAAGAATAAGAACCCAGATCGTGCATTATTTATGTATGCGTCCCGTCTCCGGCAGGTACAACAGTAATATTCCAGCCACGATACGTATATAGAACGGAGCACAATTCCTTCCTTCACGAAAGCCACGGAAACCTCGCGCGCCCGATCACGCAAGCCGCGGGCCTCCCTTTCGCTTACCGAACCCGTAGCTAAGGCGTCTTATCGTTGTCGTCTCGCCCCGTGCAGGAACAGCAACAGCGTGACTTCGGCGTGGAGGGATCGCGATACCAGTCGCAGAGATCGCAAAAACTGGAGCACCATCGCCATCGATCCAACGAGCGTCGCGAGAGCCAAAAAGAGGCACGACATTACGGCTCGCCGGGCGAGGAGCGCGAGGGCGAGACTTCCGGTTACGCCAGCGACTCCGTGGATGTGCCACAGGCGGGACAAAGTGAGTCCTTCCTGAACTACGTACTCCCTAAATTACATATGAATTTCAGAAGTGATATGCTGTTGGCTAATGGAACCAAAAAGAATTTTTTTATAATAAAAAAAAACCTTTCCTGTGGCGAAAATTTTTCTTAGAATTCTTCATGAATTTTTCAAAATTTCTATATAAATTATTGAATTTTTTTAAATTTCTGTGATTTTATAATTTTTTAGAAAATTCTCAGATTTTTTTAATACGAATTAAGAGAGTATTTTCAAAAATGCTAAGAAAGTCTACATTTTGCTTTTCTAGAACTCTTTATATACATGAATTAATTCTGAAATTCATTCTTCTCATTCTATAATTTCTAATGAAAACTTATAAAATCCGAAGAAATTTAAGGTATTTTTTAGAAATCTTCATAAATTTAAACTATAAAAAATTAAAAAATATTAGGAGATATGAGAATTTTTTTCACCAGAGTGGCTCAATGAGTATCCAGATAAATATAAATAAGAGTATTAATATATAACGAAGAATATCGAAATTTCTGCAGGTGGAAATAATCTTAGAATGCCAATTCGTTAATCATTCTCTTTGTCAACGATAACAAAGTTTTCATATTTGTTTTCGATTCAAGGTGCTCTGCCTGACAAAGTAACGAGCAGGATGGAAATGACGGAGAAAACGTGGCAAAATCCTTACTGTACTACTCCGGAAAGTTCACTGCCACCATCGAGAAGGCTCTCGTCGGGAAGAATGGGCGAACTCAACAGGCCAAGGTGGGGCAGCGTGTGGGGTCAAGACGCAGCGAGAGGTGACCCACCGCCGCCCTCTTGGTTATCAAGATTAGGACAGTCGAGCCAGGTGAGCAATGATCATTAAGAGCCTGCTGACCTTCGAAATGTCAAGTTTAAAAACTACAATTAAGAGCACTCGCATTTATCTATCCCACAGTTTTTATAATCTAATCGAATTCTCGGCTCTTTGTCAAGGTTCTGGTGATCAATCACGACAGCGCCAGCAGCCCGGATAGTTCAACGACCGGCTCAACCGGCTCTGATATCAATAAAGTGTCTTATCTCCGGGGTCAGAATATTCCGATGGACGCGCAGATCCTACAGGAACGGGAAACGAGACGACAGAAGGCATTGGAGCTTCAGAACGCCATCAAGCAGCAACTCGAGGAGAAGGACAGGCAGAGGAAAGAGGAGAAAGAGCGGCGGATAAGGGAGGAGATGCTGGAAGAGGAACGAATCCGGCGTGAAAGAGAAAGAGACATAGCAAGGTAAAATAAACATTAAAAACTTAAGAAAAGACCCCAAGTATATTCTGTATGCTTTTAATAATTTTGTAAACGATAATATATATTCGAAAAACGTAATGGAAAAAAGTCATATGTAATGCCATGAAAACTAAGTGAAATCAAAATGTTATCCTATGTTATTACATAGATTTACTAGACTAAATAATATCCCTAAGTAGAATAAATTTTGTACGCAAATAAATATAAGAGAAACAAGGAATAGGAATAAGAATTTAGGTTTGTTGGTATAGGTATTGGTGTGGATGAATAAATGGTTAAGTTTGTTTTGTAAACCAAGTCCCCTTTCTGGCTAAAATTTTATGCTGAAGGAAATAAATTATCTATCTATAAGAGAAACAAAAGCCAGGTTTTGCATTTAAAGTTACAAATTACACTCAATGGATTTACTCCGCTCTAGATTCGAGGAGGAGCAGCGGATGATACGCGAGAAAGAGGAGGCGAAGTCGAGGAAGGCGCAGGCGATGCGCGAGGTGCTGGAAGCCGCGGAGCGGCTGGCGAAGGAGGAGCGGAAGAATCGACGAAAGCGAGAGGAGCACCTCGTCGAGGACGTGGCACCGCAGGCACCGCAGTCTTCCAGCGAGTCTTCGAACGCGACGGCGAACGTCAACGACAGACGCGAGGAGCAGAGCGGTTCGCCGGCGCAGAAGCAGAGCGCGAACCCGAGCAACTATCCCGAGGAGAAGTTCAGTCCGAAGGACACCAGAGAGGCCGACAATTGTCGAGAGAGCGAGACCGCCGACAAGGAACCGAGGGAGGTTTGCTCGCGGACGAACTACGCGGACAAGTCGGAGGAGGCTGCGCTGGACCTGAACCCGATGGGCGGCTCCCTTCAGGTGCCCGTCAGCAAGGACGTGGCGATCGTGCTGAGCGGCCGGCTGGACGACCCGGAGATCCTGAGCCGGGCGAATCTGCAGCTGGTGAACCTGGTGATGTCGCCGAGCCCGCGCAAATTCGCGGAGAACGCCGCAGACTACTTCTCGCTCGGCTTGAACGCGCTCGTGAGGAACGGCGGCGGCAGTCCCAGGAACCCGAGGAGGCCCTCGAGGGACGCCTCGTCGATCGTCGTGGAGAACCGACTGCTGACGCCGAGCAAGTATCGAACGCCGGCCGGCCGGGACTTCGGCACGCAGACGGACGTGGAGTCCGACGTTCAGGAGCTGCGGGAGAAGCTGCAGGATCAGTCGGTCGGGGACCACGTTACCGCGAAGGACCGGAAGGACACGACCAACGTCAGCCGAAGAAACGTTGAAAAGTGAGTCATCGCCAACCTCGCGATCTCGCGATGTCGCATTTCCGGGCTTCTTAGAGCCGAAAATAAAAACGACGACCTGTGTTCCCTGCATGCGGTAGTATCTGCCGGTAATTATTGTTTTTTATTTCATATACTGTATAGTTCGATAATAAGCTTGACGATCGTAAAGACGCTTTGTCGTGAAATGTCTGCCGATTCGCGCGAGGAAAGTGCCCAGTAAGTTGAATGCTTTTAATCGTGTTTCTCTTGAGAGACTAGAAAAAAAAACATTCTTAATTAGCTAACACACCTTTTGGTTTTTCTTGATCTGTCACATTATTTGTGATATTATTTTGCCTCGAATTTCGCTCAAATTTGCCGCTTGCAAGTTAAAATGCATTTGCTAGATTTGGCAAATATAGCTTGAACCTGCTACCGGTTTTCGCCTGACAGAAAACGCTTTAAAACGAAATTTCCCGTAAAAATTACGATACTTCAGTACGATTGTAATTGTTTGAAGATCGAATAATGCGGGCACCGGCGAAGAAAGTTCCGTGAAAACTCTTCCGCGATCCAAATCGCAGCCCAGAACTACGCTCGACAGCAGACCGCGATGGAACGCCAATCGGTAACCAAAGATACTAAATACGATAACGTTATCAAAATCAAATACATTTGTTCCTAAATCATTTGTTCATCATTTGGTCATCATCTGTATCGCGAATGCGGCGAATGTAATAATGATTAAAATTACTCTTAGCCCAGGTACACGATATCGCACGCAAAGCGAGAAAGATCCGCATTATCAGAGACGTTTGCGATTAAGAAGGCGACAAATCGAGTCCAGCGACGAAGGGTCTAGGTAAAGAAATTTGCGAAAAAAAATTAGATTAAACTTCCAAAACTGTCTATAATTTCAAATGTGATAACCGAGGAAGATAAGAAACATATAATATTTAAAGACGTAAGATTAATATAAATAAATGAGGGTAATTATGCGACAAGAAGAATTTCGGGACATATTATTTTAATTATTATTGCACCAATTAACGCACGGTTTCGTACTACTGACTGCAATTTAATCGTTTCAAGATGACATTAATTCATCTTTATCAGGTCACCGTCCCCCGATCGGCGGAAATCAAATAACGGAAAGACAAAGAGTCGAAACGCCATCAGGCGTAAGGCGAAACCCGAGAATTACGACGCCGACCTGTCGATGGACAGCCTGAATTCCGTTGTGCCCCTGCGAATCGACAAAGACGGGAAGATTAATATCGAGGAATGTGCCGAGAAATTACGATTGAAAAATGATGCGAGTCACGCAAAAAGTCCGGATGATGATAGCTCTAATGTCTGGTGCGGACAGGAAATCTTGTCCAAACTGTCGTCGTTGAGAAGCGTATGTAATAACAAATAATATTAATCCTATCGCCATATTTTATACATTTAGCATATAATATACATTATTTACGGTTATTTACAAAATAATTTTAAAATATTCCATTGTATGTAAAAAAAATAATGCAATTTTTTTGAATTATATATAATTATATATATATTCATGTTTTTATATTAAAAAAACTTTTTATATATACAGGTCGATATTCTAGACAAAACTTTGAATTCTTTTTATGATCAAGCTAAAAATTATTGATAAATGCTCAAAAAAGTTTCTTTAACATGCATTCATTTCTCTTCCAGGGACTTTTAATGAAGCAGATCGAGTGGGATTCCGAGCGGTGTCTGGTCTCACCCGCTGCATCCGAAATCTTTTAAGTGCCTGCAGGATTTTCTTGCCATCAGAACATCCTTTTGTTTTTCTTTTCGTTTGCGTAGAAAGTGAGATCGAGTAGAATGCGAAAGGGATCTTATTCGAAGAACATTTGTTTGTTTCGTCGAGCGAACGAAAACGAGATGGACTCAAGCTTCGTTTTTCGCGTTGCAGATTTAGATAATGGCCTTCCAACTGGACGATCTACTGAAGGACGACAAAAAAGACGCGAATTTGATACCCGATTTAAGTAAATCAACTTGCAATTCTCACGAGGAATTCCGACGACTCAAGGAGAATTGTCCGGAATTTAAGATCAAACCGGAAAAGGTTCTAACAATGACATATACTACAAATTTGTAGCATATATATATATATATATATATATTACGATAAAATATTATACCCTATTCATTACAATTATATTAAAATCTCTATTATACAGCTTTAGCCATAAGTATAAAGTATCCCAACAAATTAACGTAAACGTTTTATATCTCATGAAAAATAAATTAAAAAACAGTTTTCTTGAAAAATAAAATTGATTCTTATAACAATTTTAATATTTTGTTAATATTTAGTTTTCCTTCAGCTTTTATTACTGCCTATTCCGTGAAAATGCAATAAATTGAGAATGCTTATGACCAAGACTATATTCTATTTCGATTATTATTGCGGTTTTTAATTATGGGGATATTAGAGTCTATTATAAAAAAATACTATTATAAAAAATTTTACGCACAAAGGTAAAACGAGAGGAGACGAAGGTTCGCGACAAAGAGTTTTCTTGGAAAGCGACCAAGAAGGAGCTCAAAAACATCGGCAGGGAATGGGCTTACGGTGATCCAGTCCCGCCGGATATGAGGGAATTGGATCTGCAAGAGTTGCAACAGGTCGCCATCGACTGGCGGATGCTGACACCGATCAGGCCGAAGCTTCGCCAAGACGAGGAAATGTTCTCGAGATTGGTAGGGATCTATCTATACACAACTGCATTAATTTAATTTTTCAAATTTCTTAACGTATATTTTGTTAAGAAAAACAAAAAAAAACTAAAATGCAAACTTCGTCCTTTTAATCTCTTCGTTCCTCAAGGTGGAAATGGGCAAATTGGAAGCGAGAACCATAGCGAAAGAACGCCGTTCACCCACGAGCCCGATCAGACGTAGCAAGAATCGCGCGGGGATAATCGAGAGCAGCGTGAAGACCTGCAGGGAGTGCGGCGAGGAGTATTGTTTCGGCGAGTTTTGCGGGGACGTTCTCTACGATTCCTTCACCAGGGTGACGATCGCCACCCAGCAGTCGAAGATCAAGATATCCGCGGACGCCGAAGCCATAATCGCCAACATGGACCGTAAGAAGAAGAGGAAAGGGAAGAAGGGAAAGAAAAGGGTCAAGAGCAAGAGCAGAACGTCGAGGAAGTCCGCCAGACTGTTGGTTAACAACAAGGCGAGAAGATCGATAACGGAATTGGAAAATAAATCTGTCAAGGCGAGAAATGGCGAAGGGCAGGGCGAGAGGCCGGTGAAACAGTTTAAGAGGAAGTGTAGCAAGTACACGAAGAAAGGCCTTTTACGTAAATAACAATAATTATTAATTATATGAATAATTGGGACACCTATAGAAATTCTGTATATCTTCTGAAGGCATCTTATATATATATATGTATTTATATAATATGTATCCTTATCTTACGTGAATTTTGATGAATATAAAAAAAATATTATTCTAGTAAAACTATAACAAAAATGTATGCGGTATACAAATATTTGCAGATCCAAGCACACTTGGATACAAATAAATTAAGTAGATAAGGATTGTACAAGTAAAACACCTCAGTATTGTATTTTTAATAATGTAAAAAAAATATTATCCACAAGAAACAAACGAAAAATACGTATGCTCGATTAATAAAAGAAAAAATGAATTCGAAATTCTATATCTATATCTATATATTATTATAGACTTCATGACCGAATTTTTTTCGAAAATCAAGATACACGAAATAAATGTACATATGTACAAGTCGGACAGGCGCAATATTAAATGCTCCCTATTAAATGCTGAAAAAATATAACTTTTATTCAGTTTGTCTTTCTTCTCTTTCTCTCCTCCTCTCCCCCCCCCTCTCTCTTTCTTCATCTATCTTCCTAAAACTCGTCTTAAAACTCATTCTGCTACTCGTACTCTTTCCATAAATATCACAACCGAAAAGCATATTTTCGCGAGAAATGTTCTGTTCACCGAACGAGATAAATGCGAAAATATATATTTATGTGTATACATATATCTCTTAGATCTTCTCACACAAATATAGAATATATTTCGACAATATATAGTCTAATTTCCAGAAGAGAGAGAAGCGCGTAATCGTGTGCGATTCGCAGAAACAGAATATTTCTCGTCGACACTATATATCTCCTTCCATCGATTTCATACGCACGTATTTCGTTTGTGTCACATTTTTCTTGATTTACCTTAATGCTAACGCTCACATAAGCTAACGATAAGATTTAAGTTAATCGAAACACACGTATATTTTATACATAACGTATGATTCTTTTTATATATTCTTTATATAGAATATTTATTATATATCATGGATTTTAATATTAATTTGTCACACGCTGTCGTGGTCGCAGCAACCCCTCGGTGAATAAAATAAATTATATGCGTAACTCTATGTCATATATTATAATATATGTTCGACACAAATATACATTCGTGTCGCGCTTCTATTTACTCTACCTCTCTCTCTCTTTCTCTCTCGCTTATCTTATCTTTATGTTACAGTCGATATTTCGAATACGATCAGGGTCCTCGTGTGTGCCATACAGTCGCGAAACTGCAGCCGTACGTCGAGCCACGCGTCCAAAGTAGGCCACTCGTAATTGCGCCGCTCGGTTATTTCGATGCACGAATCAAGAGAGGGTACCATCATACATTCGCAGAACGCTACGTGGACCGATGTCGTGAACGTGCTGGCGTGCTGCCCATGTCCATATTTTGAAAATGAGACGAGTCAAATCCCGTGAATCTCATCTACAAAGTTATTACAATTGTACACCATCGGTACTTCCGTTTGGCCTTATTGTGTGAGACTTAACTCGTATTATTTTCAGAATAAATCGCACGCGTGCTGCATGTACTCGGACGCTAGCTGATCGATTCTTCTCGGAAAGACCTGGGATCCCCGCCGCCGCAGGGTATCCGGTATCCGATACGGTGAACCGCGTAAACGCAACATTGCACATATACATTTAATAAAAAGAACATTGCTCGTTTAATATACATATATACACAGTGGCGCAATATAATACTTGCTCGATTTTATAGTCAGTTCACCTCCCCC